ACTTAGATGCATCAAGCAAAACTTACACTGGGTATATTTTCCGGCGTACATATCCCTTCTTGCAGTAGGCGATCTCGTATTTCCCATGCGAAAATCGATGGACATTCCCGTTTGTAATGGGCAATTTTGAGTACGACCATGCTCGTGGCCACTCGCGGTTTGCTTCCACCAATTGCTTTCGGTCTTATCGATCCGGTTTCGTAATATCGACAGAGAATTTTCGAGACGCAACCGTTGGACACTTGTAGGATTCGAGAAATATCACACGGTCGAGCTCCGGAATGTGCGAGTTCAATGATACGTTGCCGAGTGGAATCGGGTAGTGGGCGTCCATTGACAAACATACCACCCAATTGATTGACACCAGAATGACCTTTGGAAGTAAAGACGAAATTATAATTAGAAATTATAATCAATGGAAGGCATCCATGTTTTACTGATCGTATGAAAACCATCATAATTAATTAATATTGTCCACCGATAGAATTGACACCTACCACGTTTGAACTTCTGTCTCGACCCGTCCTCAGAACTGTCCACTGACGAGCTGTCCAACGTCATCATTGCACAATTGAAAGACAGACAGTTTTAGTCCAATCGTTGTCTGGTTAAATGGCGATTTTGCCCTCGAATTGAATGGTTCTGAACATTTAAAAAAGAGTAGAAAGTAAAAACACAGTAGTAAATATGCACTACCGTGCTTCTCGAGATCCAGTCAACTATTCTGACCGTAATAGTCAAAACTTCCTATATTTTGTATCAGATAGAATGTATTAAATTAGTTTAATCACCAAAGATTGTATCCTCCCCAAAATCAATAAGTGGTAAACAATTATCAGGCAGTTTTCAGTCAATGGCAGTAAGGTTTCTTCCAATATCACATTCCACCGTTGAACGTTGAATATTATTTCTAACTCATGTGTTGCCTATTCCCATAATGATAAAATTAACGTCCTTGCGTGAACACAAGGAAGTTAGTTAGTCCCAATCAATATAATCTCGTGGGTTGATGCAATCTACCCATGCCGTACTGAACTGTTCTCCCAGATATCCTGTGTGGAGAGTTGGGAGTACTAGAGATGTCGATGACAGCCGGAAATTCTGCCAGATTAATGAGTTCCATCACGCTAGGGGAAAAACGCGAATTCATTAAAAGGTTGCTTGCTCACAACAGAAACCTAATTGTAGAACGGATACTCACTCGTCGGACAGTTGTTTCACTTAGGTTTTCAAGTAAACTACCACCTAGTTTATTTTCATAATGTGCAAAGTGAAAAATCCGAAAGCGAAACTCAACTAATAGGGGACTACAACGTACTGTAGAATTGGCTCTTAATTACTCCGATGGGACCATTTATTTGCGTTCAAGCTGTGACTCGATTCACAATTTGTCTAGATCTCGCTACTACATATGCATTTCTCGGAAAAATTGCCTGCCATTCGGTTCGGATTGGCCGAACATCAAACAGCTCCATTTCAAACGCAACACTTGTGTGTGCATGAACTACATTTCTCATAGATAGATGGAGTGAGAAACGTAGAAACTAAAACTCTCATATTACGTCATGATTTCGAACTCACTTTGGCAAACGTCCGTTTGACGGGATAGCACGAGAATAACTTTTTTGTGGGATCAGATGAGGCACGTTATCCTGTCGCGACTAGATACCAGTCAAGTTTTCCACCGTGGCAAAACACAAAAGTGTTTCAAAAGATTTTGGAATATGTCCGCAATCACAAAAGCACGCACACATATGCAAAATTGTGTTCACACTAACAACGATGGAGTCTTTCAGAATTAATCCTGTTCACCGGTTCTCGTGGCTGTATCTGACAGTAGGTGCACACGAATGTTCACACATATCCATATTTATACAGTACCCGGGTTTGCAATCGTTTTTCCGCGTGTTAGATCAATGACGGAAGTATCACTCTTCGCCGATGGGATTGCGCTGATATAGTAAATGGGAAACGGGATTAGCCACAGTACCAATAAACACCTCACACACATACACACTCACTATCTGTGGCGGTGGTGGTGGTGATTATTGGACTGCGTAGGATGGGGGATTCGGTGGTAGTGTTGGACGCTCAAAAGCAATAGGCGGAGGAGTTGTAAGACAATAGAGTGAATTTCGCCGGATTGTCGCTTTCATCAACCGGGAAAGGATGATTTGGATTTGGCCAGTGTCAAGATCATTTCCTGCTCGACCAATCAGAACGGCCGGTGAGAAGCTGCCCGAAGCTGTTCTGTGTTCCCACACGAGAAGTTCGTTTCCACAAGCAGACACACGTTTTGTGTATGTGTGTGTGCGGCCGTGCACCTCCGTACCAGTGTGTGTGTGAGCGCATGAACTATTCCGCACAATATTTTAGAGTATTATAGTCGTCATCACCACCACCATCACAATCACCATTTTGTTTCCACAGAATTTTTTTCTTGTTTTTCTTGTTCAAGGGTTGATGAAGGCGTAGACCGCCGCTGCCGCCGCCCGTGATGATGATGACGAGGATGATGATAGAATGTGTTCCACTGGTTTTGGTGGTGGGTGGGGAACGAAACAAGCAAGAAAGACACAAGGGAGGAGAAGGTATGGGGTTGTTTCTACGTCTGTGTGGCTTTGTATGTAGGCAAGATAAACTTCGAAGCGAACATTTCTATCCCTGTTCCGTTGTTATCGACCGGGAGTATTGTTCTTGTCAGTTTCCGGTGCGTGTGTGCGAGCATGTGCTATGCGTTTGTGTGTTTGCATGGTTGTCATGTCCAAATTGGGCATTCGGTTGTGCGTCCGTTCTACTGAATCTTTCATCCCCTCTCTCCTCCAAATTATTTTTCCCTACCCTATTCTTCTCTGCCGCGAGGTTCGAAAGTCGTCAGTTCAGTCTGTCAGTTCCCCTGGCTGTGATATGATTGGTTCGTTTTGTCGGTATAGGCCGAAGCCATGGCGACTTCGTTCTCACCCTATTCCCGCCAAAACACTCGATACAGAATTAGTAGTGGGATGCACATACGCACGCAATGCTTGCGCGTGCGCACGTGCGCTCGCGCGCACACACACATGAGCACATTTCGGGGTTTTCCACGAGGATTT